TGTACAGAGAGGAAGGGAGAGAGATAGAGAGTTAGAAACATCGATGAGAGAGAGTCATCGATCAGCTGCCTCTTGCACACCCCCTACTGGGGATGTGCCCGCAACCAAGGTACATGCCCTTGACCGGAATCGAACCCGGGACCCTTCAGTCCCCAAGCTGACGCTCTATCCATTGAGCCAAACCAGTTTCGGCTAGATAAAATATATTTTTAAAAAAGAATATGGATTCAGTATTGTCTGATCTCAGTTAGTAGAAGCTGGAAATCCAGATTTTTATGCAGTTTTCCAATTTTTAAAATTAAAATTTTACTCTATTAGTATTATTTTGTTTTAAATCCTCACCTGAGGATATTTTCCCATTGATTTTTTAGAGAGAGTAGAAGAGAGAGGGAAAGACAGAGAGAAACATCAATGTGAGAGAAACACATCGATTGGTTGCTTTCTGCACACGCCCTGACCAGGGTCCGAGCCAGGGAGGAGCCTGCAGCCGAGGAGGTCTGTGCTCTTGACCTGAATGGAACCCGGGACCCTTCAGTCTACAGGCTGATGCTGTATCCACTGAGCCAAACTGGCTGGGGCAAAAGTTAAAATTTTAAACTTTGGGTGGTTCAAGGTCATGTGGGTCAAACAGCACTCTCTAAGCCTGCCAGTCTGTGACCTCTGTTTCACACTAATCATTTTCTGGTTCTCATTTGCATCATCGGTGAGCTGTCAGGACAGTGTCACAGACAGTCTCGAAGGTTCTTTCTGGTTCAGTGGTTCTACGTCTCAAAAGAGAAAAATATCCAAATTGTTCAGGGCTTTAGAGGCAGCTGAGAATATCAACAGTAATGATATTTTGGGAAGCTGCCCAGAGCTTTACATTTTGCATACGATTGTCATGCCTCTTTTCTCTTTCTTTCTTTCTTTTTCTTTTTTTTCTAGGTTTTTTTTTTTTTTTTTTGCATGTATCTGACCAAATTTTTCAGCACCATTTTTTTTCCCTTAGGAATGATTTTAAAAAAAATTTTATTGATTTTTCTACAGAGAGGAAGAGAGAGGAATAGAAAGCCAGAAATATTGTTGAGAGAGAAACATCGACCAGCTGCCTCTTGCACACCCCCTACTGGGGATGTGCCCGCAACCAAGGTACATGCCCTTGACCGGATCGAACCTGGGACTTTTCAGTCCGCAGGCTGACGCTCTATCCACTGAAACACACCGGTTTTGGCTTCTTCTTTCTTTTAATCCTTACAGGGTCTTGTGAAATAGACAGCAGAGTAATTGGCCCAGCTGCATTGCATGGTGGTTCCAGGTTACACAGTCAGGTCCCCTAATTTCAAGTCCAGAGCTCTTTCCGCTGTGGTGCAGCGGCCTCAGAAGGTTCTAGAATAGGCGCTTTGGGAGGGAGAGCTGATGAGGGATCCTGTAGGGGGGTCTCCAGCTCAGCAGGCGGCAGAGGTCTAGCCGGACGTAGAGCTTAGCTTGGTTGAAGGCTTTGCAGTAGGAGTTGAAGCCTTTGTGAGAACTGTCTGAAGGCAGGCATTTTGGTACATGGTCAGATTCACAGGCCAGTGTCCGACACAGCACCTGACACACCGCATGGCTCAGTGATTGAGCTTCGACCTAGGAACCAGGAGGTCACGGTTCGATTACCCGTCAGGGCACAGGCCCCAGTTGTGGGCTCCGTCCCCAGTCGGGGGTGTGCAGAAGGCAGCCCATCCATGATTCTTTCTCATCATTGATGTTTTTTCTCTCCCCCCCCCTCTGAAATCAATAAAAAATATATATAAATACACACACACATACTTTATTTCAGAGAGGAAGAAAGAGATAAAAACATCAATGAGGCTGAGACCAGTTTGGCTCAGTGGATAGAGCATCGGCCTGTGGACTGAAGGGTCCCGGGTTCGATTCTGGTCAAGGGCATGTACCTTGTTTGCGGGCATGTCCCCAGGAGGGGGTGTGCAAGAGGCAGCTGATCAGTGACTCTCTCATCAATGTTTCTAACTCTCTATGTCTCTCCCTTCCTCTCTGTAAGAAATCAGTAAAATATATTTTAAAACAAACATCGATGAGGAGAGAGAATCATTGATTGGCTGCCTCCTGCACGCCTCCTTATTGGGGATCAAACCCGCAACCCAGGCATGTGCCCTTGCCTGGAATCGAACCTGGGACCCTTCAGTCCGCAGGCCGACGCTCTATCCACTGAGCCAGACCAGCTAAGGCAAAATATACGTAGTTTTTAAAAGTTTGTATGTCAGTGAACAAATGGACAGATTGATGGAAGAAGGAATCAAAGGCTCTAGAATCAAGAAGGGTGAGAATTGTGTCTCGAGAATTTCAAGGACAGCCGTCAAATGCTTCCGGGGAGAACTTTGAGGATGCTAAGATCAAAAGCTGGGACTTGATTCTTCTGACTCAGCTGATGGGTGGGAAAGCTCACCATGACCTCCTCCTCTCCTTTGACTCTCAGATCTGGTTTTTGGTTAATAGGTCATCACCATCTCCCAGGGAAGTAGGTTTGAGAAATAAAATTCTGTAGGTCAAACAGAACTTAAACAAAGTAAGCCTGCCAAAGGGTTTAAAACGTCCAGACACATACAAGTCCTTATCTTTTGGAATATGGAATATGATTCCCAGGGTTTCTCTTAGTGGACTGCTGCAGGCAGTGGAGGAGGAAAAGATGGATCAAGATTAGACATAAGCCAAAACTGGTGTGGCTCAGTGGATAGAGCGTCGGCCTGCGGACTGAAGGGTCCCAGGTTTGATTCCGGTCAAGGGCATGTGCTTTGGTTGCGGGCACATTCCCAGTGTGGGGTGTGCAGGAGGCAGCTGATCGATGTCTCTCTCTCATGGATGTTTCTAGCTCTCTATTCCTTTCCCTCCCTCTCTGTGAAAAATCAATAAAATATATTTAAAAAAAGATTAGACATAAGTTGGGAACATTGTTGAAGCTGGAAGAGGGCTCGATGGGGTTTCATTATGCATCTGTCTATTTTGTATATATTTGAAAGTTTTCATAATAAATGGAAAAAAACAAAAAATCAGAAGGCTTTATGGAATCAGCAATGTTTTTGGTTAACGGAACTTCACTTTTCTCTCAGCTTGTAAGCAGTATGGTCATTGAGAGAAATAGCGGGGGGGGTGGGGGGATAGGAAAAGAATGTGACAGAAATAAGAAGAAATATGGATTGCCCTAGCTGGTGTGGCTCACTGGATAGAGCGTCGGCCTGCAGATTGAAAGGTCCCGGGTTCGATTCCGGTCAAGGGAACATGCCTAGGTTATGGGCTCGGTCCTCAATAGGGGGCGTGAGGGAGGCAGCTGGTCAGTGATTCTCTCATCATTGATGTGTCTCTCTCTCTCCCTCTCTCCCTTCCTCTCTGAAATCAATAAAAATATAAGAAGAAAGAGTATGGGTTTTTAGTTAGACCTCGGCTTGCACAAGACCTCCCTCGACCTTGCACAAGCCTCCGAACTTCCCTAGGTCTGGTCTCCAGGTCTAACGCAGCCTCCCCAGGTTAGAGATGAAGCGGGCAGTGGAGACTCGGCCCTGGCAGTGTTTGCAATCAGACAAAGAAGCAGTAACGAAAGGGTCAAAGCCTGCCTCGGGGTTCCCGTCTACCCTTTCCTCCCAACATGAATCATAAGTGCCAAGCGTTATGTAACCGCAGAGGTCATTTATTATTTTAGAAAGAGGACTCTTAAACACCAAACTGGACCACTTTGGGGTTTACAAGAACTGTAACCAGTTTATTGCCTTTTGAAAAACGAAGCGAGGGGCAGCTGGCGGGAGAAAGGCACGTTGAAACGGTGGAAATCCATCTTGTACCTGCTCCGTCGGCCTCCTTTCTGACCCCAATTCATGGTCTTATCCAGCGTTGGTGAGGTTTTCGGTGAGACTGGGTATGCCTTTTGGGAAAACATTTTGGCGGTACGTGTCGAGAGCCATTCAAAGGCCCGTACCCAGAGACTTGGTAATCACTTTTTGGAATGTGTCCTATGGAAATGATTCAGAACAAGTGTTATGTTGCCATGAAAGATGATTATGTAATCTAGAAAAGGCTTCAGAGTGTACCTGTGTCATGATTACAACTATGCAGTCTTTTTAAAAATATATATATTTTATTGATTTTTTTACAGAGAGGAAGAGAGAGGGATAGAGAGAAACGTTGATGAGAGAGAATCATCGATCAGCTGCCTCTTGCACATCCCCAGTAGGGGATGTGCCCGCAACCAAGGTACATGCCCTTGACTGTAATTGAACCCGGGACCTTTCAGTGCGCAGGCCGACGCTCTATCCACTGAGCCAAACCGATTTCTACTAGAACTATGCAGCCTTTACCCATAAGGTGAATGACTGGAGAAGAACATGGAGATGGGAGGGCAGCTAATGTCACAGACTGCTAGACAGTGGCTTAGTTTTTCTTCACCGAATTCCCTGCCCTGGCCAGGTTTGCTCAGTGGATAGAGCATCGGCCTGCAGACTAAAGGGTTCTAGGCTCCATTCCAGCCAAGGGCACATGCCCAGGTTGTGGGCTCAATCCCCAGTGGGGGGAGTGCAGGAGGCAGCTGATCTAAGATTCTCTCTCATCATTGATGTTTCTCTCTTTTTCCCTCTCTTCCTCTCTGAAATTAATAAATTTAAAAAAATAAATATTTTTTTAAAAGAAAAAAATTCCTTGTCGCTATTAAAGATAGTGCTTGCTTGCCTACACATACACACTCAAATGTCTCGCAGGAGGACTATCACACAGACCATGTGGAAGGAACATGGGTAAATTCTTTACAAAAATAGACAAATAAAGAAACCACAAAGCACCGGAAACCTGAAAGTTTTGAGTAGAGAAGAAATTGAAACCGAGACTTCCCACTCTTGAACCATTTCTCTTCAAAACACCATACTTGGGTCCTTTCTTGAGAGCTTTGCTGTCAGGTGTCAAAGGGGTTGAGTTTCTCTCTCTCTCTCTCTCTTTTGTGTGCATGCATCTCAACGTTTTTGAAATCTCTCTGTTTCCAGGTTCAGTTTCAGAAGCTTCAGCAACTGCGCCTGACACAGTACCACGGCGGGTCCTTGCCCAACGTGAGCCAGCTGCGGAGCAGTGCGTCGGAATTCCAGGTACCCCGGATATTTGCTTCATGGGGCTGAATGGACTTCGAAAAGACGGGCAGAGATTATCCTTAAAAAGATTAGATCTCGAAGGGCAAACCTGTCCTAGATCTAGTTCAGTGTTTTTCCGGGAAGTCCATCATCATCCTCTTCCCTAGTTCCTACAGCATTTAGCAGCGTGTGATCTCACAAATGGCCTAAGGCAGTACTGTTCCATGGAAATATAATTCGAGCCATATTTATGTGATTTCAGTTTTTTCAGTAGCCACATGAAAATCAACAAAGTGGATTAAAATTTATTTAAATTATTTAAATAACTAGAGGCTCAATGCATGAATTGGTGCATGGTAAGGGGGGTCCCTCGGCCTGGCCTTCCATCAGGGCCAATCAGGGCAGTCTTGCCTAGTTCTGATCGGAGCTGATTGGTCTGACTGGCTGCGAGGGAGGGACTATGGGAGGTTGGCTGTGGGCATGCACTGACCATCGGGGGCAGTTCCTGCATTGAGCGTCTTCCCCATGGTGGTCAGTGCGTGTCATAGCTACCAGCTGGTCGTCTGGTTGTCCAGTCGTAACAGTCATTTAGGCTTTTACATATATAGATTATTTAACTCAATATATTCAAAATATTATCATTTCAATGTATAATCAATATAAAAATATTTATGAAATATTTGACATTTTTTATTTTTCCTGTAAAGTCGTTATCTAGTGTGTATTTTATTAATTATTATTTTAAAATATATTTTAATGATTTTTTTTTTTTACAGAGAGGGAGGGAGAGGAATAGAGATTTAGAAACATCCATCAGCTGTCTCCTGCACACTCCCTACTGAGTATGTGCCCACAACCGAGGTACATGCTCTTCCTTGATTGGAATCGAACTTGGGACCCTTGAGTCTGCAGGTCGAAGCTCTATTCACTGAGCCAAACCGGTTAGGCCTATTATTATTAAAAAAAAAAATTGCCGAAACCGATTTGGCTCAGTGGATAGAGCATCGGCTTGCAGACTGAAAGATCCCAGGTTCGATTCCAGTCAAGGGCATGTACCTTGGTTGTAGGCACATCCCCAGTAGGGGGTGTGCAGGAGGCAGCTGATTGATGATTTTTCTCTCATTGATGTTTCTAACTCTCTATCCCTCTCTCTTCCTCTCTGTAAAAAAATCAATAAAATATATTTATAAAAAAATATTTTTGTTGATTTCAGAGAAAAGGGGGGGAGAGAGAGAGAGAGAGAGAGAGAGAGAGAGAGAGAGAAAACAGAAACATCAATGATGAGAGAATCATGGATCGGCTGCCTCCTGCATGCCCCCTACTAGGGATCAAGCCCACAACCAGGGCCTGTGCCCCTGACCGAAATTGAACCTGGGACCCTTCAGTCCAAAGACATTCTATCCACTGAGCCACACCTGCCAGGGCTAGATGTCTCCCCATTTTAAAAGTAGTCTTTCTTTCTTGTGAAAACTGGGCTGACTTGTTTGATGATGTGCCATAATGCAGAAGTATTATTTAAATTGGGGACTTCCGTTTAAGAGGGCTAAACGGAACTCTGAAATATAGCGGTGATTATAAAAAGTACAGTATGAACAGATCTGTACCTGTCCCACTGGGATCTTGACTTTAATATACATTGAATCTCACTTTAATACTGCCATTGCTAGCAGTCTACTTCTGTAGATCGAACCTCTTGTCTGTTGGTCTGTTGAATCATTCTGTATCCAAATAACATAGACCTTTGTGCTGGGCTCGATTTCATCCTTCAGAAAATAAAGCATTGTCAAGGGCAGATGTTTTTGAAGTCCCAAATCTGTGGCACTTTATTGTCAGTTTTAGAGGAATACAGATTTCGTTGTCCTGTCCCTCTCCTGTCGCATTGGGGTGTGGGATGACGTGACAGGCACTGACTATCTCAGGATTCTTTCTTGAATACATTTTTTTTTTACTCTTAAACAATCACAAGCTTACAGAAAAGTTGGAAGTGGCGTACAAATAATTTTCCTACTTTGATAATAAGTTGCTGACCTCATGCTATATCGCCCCCAAATATTTCCCCTGTGTATTTCCTACAAGCAAGGACATTGTCCTACATAAGACCAAAATAGAGCCATTAAAATCAGGAAATGAGCAGCAATAATTGTTACCGTCGGATCCTCAAACCCCATTTAAGTTTTGTCCAATGTCCCATTACTGTCCTCTGTAGCAATAGGGTCTAGTTCAAAATCTCGTGCGCTTAATGGTTGTCTGTAGTCGCCTTCAGTCTGGAACAGTTTTTCAGCCTTTTATTTTGACATGAAAAAATTTATTTTTGACCTTTGTGGCCTTGCCACTTTTGAAGAATATCCCTTAGTTGGGGTTTGTCTGATGTTTTTTTGTGATTAGATTCAGATTATGCATTTTTGGCAGGAATAGCACAGAAGTGATGTCCTTGTACCTCATTCAGTGAGTGATTTTCATTTGTCCTGTTACTAATGGTATTCATTATAATTAGGGTGGTGGCCCTGGCCAGCGTAGCTCAGTTGGTTGAATGTCTTCCCATGCACCAAAAGGTAGCCTGCCTCCAGAGTCCCCCAGTCCCCTCAACCCTCCAGCCGCCCAGGGCCAGCCTGAGGTGCAGACAAGTCTCACATGATGGCTGCCCAGTTGCCCAGGGCCAGCCCAAGGCGCAGGCAAACCTCAGATGGCTGCTGCCCAGCTGCCCAGGGCTGCCTGAGGCTCAGGTAATCAGGGCCAGCCAAGGCTTGCGCTGCTGGCAGTGGCAGCAGCAGAGGTGTGATGGGGGCATCGCCTTCCCCTGATCACTGGGTCCCTTCCCGCCCTTGAAGGCTCCCAGACTGTGAGAGGAGGCAGGCTGAGCTGAGGGACTTCCCTGCCACCTCCCTCCCTCACCCCCCATGAATTTTCATGCACCAGACCTCTAGTTTTGATAATAAATCCTCTTCCTAGAATTCTTGACAAACTGAGGAATGAAAGGGAATCCAAGAAGTAGTGATTTCTTTAAGTAAACATTTTTTAGGTATAATTTACATACAGTACAACTGACCTTTTTTCAGGCATACAGTTTTGTGTAGAAAAACCTGCACCACAATCGATACAGAACAAATCCTGGCCCAGTAGCTCGATTGGTTAGAGCAGTGTTTCCCAAAGTGTGGTCCGCGTACCCCCAGGGGTACGGGGGGAAGAGTCTGGTGGGGGTATGCGTTGCACCGGAGTTTGGTGGGGATATGCACTGCACCGTGCTTAGCTGCGCCTAATTCTACGTTCTCATGAGTACAGGGGTCCTCAGCGTTACGAAAATTATAGAAGGGGTACACATATGTCTGAAGTTTGGGAAACACTGGGTTAGAGCATCGTCACGTGGGTTTGATTCTGGTCAGAGCACATATGAGAATCAACCAATGAACACATAAATAAGTGGAACAAGAATCAATGTTTCTCTCTCAAAGTAATTAACAACAATAACAGCAATGTATATTCACGTTGTTGCACACCAATATCCAGAACTCTTTATTCCATGGAATGGAAACTCTGAATCCATTAAATAACAACTCCTCATCCTCATTCCTGAGCCTCTGGCAACCGCCATTTTACATCTGTCTCTGTGAATTCCATGCTCCTCATTCATACAGGTGACGTCATGCAGGACTTACCTTTGTTTGACTGGCTGTTGCACTTAGCATAATGTTCTCAAGGCTTATCCATACTGTAGCATGTGACAGGATTTCCTTCCTTTTTAAGGCTGAATAATACTCCAATGTATGAATAAGCATATTTTGTTTAACCATTCATCCACTGATGGACATTTGGGTTGCTTGGCTATTGTGAATAATGCTGCTGTGGACATAGGAGGGCAAATATCTCTTCCAGAACATGATTGCAAATTCTTTTTGAGTGCATATCCAGAAGTGAGATTGCTATAGACTGTATGGTAATTCTAGTTTTAATTTTTTGAGGAACTCCCACAGTTTTCCACAGTTGCTATACCATTTTACAGTCTCACCAGCAATGTGCAAGAGTTCCAATTTTTCTACATCCTCCCCAACACTCGTTATTTTATGGGATTATTTTAAAATATATTTTTATTGCTTTGAGAGAGGAAGGGAGAGGGAGAGAGAGAGATAGAAACATCAATGATGAGAGAGAATCACTGACTGGCTGCTCCCTACTATCGATCAAGCCCACAGCCCGGCATACGCCCTTGACCAGAATCAAATATGAGATCCTTTAATCCGAAGGTCGATGCTCTATCCACTGAGCCAAGCCAGCTAGGGTGGGATTTTTTTTTTTTTAATAGTAGTCATCCTAATAGATATGAGATGGTGGCATTTCCTTGTAAAAATTTTTGGTCATTCTAATGCATTGTGGTTTTAATTTGCATTTTCTTAATGATTAGTAACGCTGAGCAGCTTTTTATGTGCTTGTTTGCTATTCTTGTATCTTCTTTGGCAAAGTGTCTCTTCAAATCTTTTGTCCAGTTTTTAAATTGAGTTGTTCATTTTTTTTTCTTTTCTTTTCTTTTTTTAATATTTTATTGATTTTGTACAGAGAGGAAGGGAGAGAGATAGTTAGAAACATCGATGAGAGAGAGTCATCGATCAGCTGCCTCTTGCACACCCCCTACTGGGTATATGCTCACAACCAAGGTACATGCCCTTGACCAGAATCGAACCCGGGACCTTTCAGTCCCCAAGCCGACACTCTATCCATTGAGCCAAACCGGTTTCAGCGAGTTGTTCATTTTCTTATGAGAATTCTTTATATACTTTGGATACCATTTCTCAATCTGATATGCATTTAGCAAATATTTTCTACCAGTCTGTGGCTTGTCTTTTCATTTTCTTAACAAACGTCTTAAAGAGCAGATGTTTTTAATTTTGATGAAGTCCAGTTTATCATTTTGTTATTCTATGACTTGTGCCTTTTGTGATTTTTCTAAGAATTCTTTGCTTAACTCTGGGTCAAAAAGTTGTTTTTCCTTTGTGTTCTTCTAAAAGTTTTATAGTCCCTCGCCAGTT